TCTTATTAATTTGTTTATTTTTAATATTCCTTCCAATTTTTATTTTATTAATTTTATTTTTTTTTATTCAATAATTTTTTTTTCCTAAAATGTTTCAAATTTTCCGAAAGCTTCCAAGCCGGCTCGTAGAGCTGCCAGCTATAACAAACCAAATTTTTCCTTTTCTATTGGCCCGAAATTACCGGCTACTCCCTTCAAATGGTCCAAATCCTCCGATACTTCCAAGTCGGCTCTTAGAGGTACCACGAAACCTACCAAACCGTGTCTTAGACGTGTCATGACAAGCCTCCGAAATCTACGAAATGGTTCTCGGAGTTGCCAGCTCCCAGCTATGACAAACCAAGTCTTCCCTTTTTTATTGGCCCGAAATTTCCCTTTAAATATTTCAAACCCTCCGAAACCTTCCAAACCGATTCTCTGGGGCTGCCAGCTATAGCAAACCAAATTATTCCTTTTTTAATGGCCTAAAATTGCCTAATACTCCCTTCAAATACTTTAAATTTACCGAAATTTTCCAAGCCGACTCGTAGTACTACCAACTATAATATAACAAACCAAATTTTTCCTTTTTTACTGGCCCGAAACTCCCGAATACTTCCTTCAAACATTCCAAACCCTCCGGAAGTGCCACGCAACCTACGAAATCGTATCTTGGAGCTGCCAAACTATATTAGCTTTAGGAAGCCAAATTTTTCTTTTCTATGTACTTCCTTCAAACATATTCAAAGCTGGCTTTCCGTAACCTGCCAAACCGTCTCTTAGAGTTACCAAACTATGGGCTGTAATACGCTAAGTCTTTTCTTTTCTACTGGCCCGTAACTATTAAATACGTCCGAAAATACCGGATAGTTCCTTCAAATCGTCCAAATCTTCCGAAATCTGCCAAACCGGCTCTTAGAGCTACAAAACTATCGCCTAAAACTGCCGGATTTTCCCTTCAAAGCCTTCAAATCTTCCAAATCCTACCAAACCGTTTCTTAGAGTTGCCAACTGCCGGCTAT